ATCTGTGAGGAGATTGTCTAGCAGTCACTGTCATATAGAAGGATTGATATTACATAAGAGTTCAACACTCTTTTCTTTGTTTCTGTTGCCTCAAGTCTCCTCTTCATCTGTGAGGAGATTGTCTAGCATCCACTGTCATATAGAAGGATTGATATTACATAAGAGTTCAACACTCTTTTCTTTGTTTCTGTTGCCTCAAGTCTCCTCTTCATCTGTGATGAGATTGTCTAGCATTCACTGTCATATAGAAGGATTGATATTACATAAGAGTTCAACACTCTTTTCTTTGTTTCTGTTGCCTCAAGTCTCCTCTTCATCTGTGAGGAGATTGTCTAGCATCTACTGTCATATAGAAGGATTGATATTACATAAGAGTTCAACACTCTTTTCTTTGTTTCTGTTGCCTCAAGTCTCCTCTTCATCTGTGAGGAGATTGTCTAGCATTCACTCTCATATAGAAGGATTGATATTACATAAGAGTTCAACACTCTTTTCTTTGTTTCTGTTGCCTCAAGTCTCCTCTTCATCTGTGAGGAGATTGTCTAGCATCTACTGTCATATAGAAGGATTGATATTACATAAGAGTTCAACACTCTTTTCTTTGTTTCTGTTGCCTCAAGTCTCCTCTTCATCTGTGAGGAGATTGTCTAGCATTCACTGTCATATAGAAGGATTGATATTACATAAGAGTTCAACACTCTTTTCTTTGTTTCTGTTGCCTCAAGTCTCCTCTTCATCTGTGAGGAGATTGTCTAGCATTCACTGTCATATAGGAGGATTGATATTACATAAGAGTTCAACACTCTTTTCTTTGTTTCTGTTGCCTTAAGTCTCCTTTTCATTCGTGAGGAGATTTTTCAGGATTGACTGCCATATAGGAGGGTTGATAATATTTAATAGTTCAGAACCGTTTTCTTTGTTTCTCATGCCTCAACTCTCCTCTTCATGTGTGTGGATATTGTCCAGCATTCACTGGTATATAGGAGGATTGATATTACCTCTGAGTTCAACACCGTTTTCTTTGTTTGTGTTGCCTCAAGTCTCTTCTTCATTTGTGCGGAGATTGTCCAACATTCACTGCCATATCAGAGGACAAATATCACGTAACTGTTTAATATTTCTTTGTTTTTAACGCAATTTTCCTACCAAACTGATACGAACCCATATCATATTATAATTCTTTATCCTCTTTATGTGTCGTGTCCCTTCAGGACGTAGGCGATTATTCTCTCCACAATTTCCTGTCCTTGGTAGCTCTTAAAAATTTTGCCATTTTTTTAATTTCCCTTAATGTTTAGCCATCCAGTTTATTCACGCTCACTAAGTGGGTGTTTTCCTCTATCCCTCTTGCCTTCAATCTGTCTTGTGAGTATCAGATTTTCCAAACCATCTTTCCTCATTATGTGCCCTAGAAATTTCAAGTGTCCTTTTCTGATGTTAAGTATAAGTTTCTTTTTTGTTTCCATTTTTCTTCAAAACCTCGTTGTTAAAAGATTTTTTTAAAAGCCAAAAAAGATATCAATTCATTTCTAAGCTTATGGAAGATTAAACTGATCACCAGTGCTGATATGAAACACACTTATGTCAAGTCATGCTTAACCATCTATCTTGTTGATTATTTTTAGTGAGTAGCAAGTACGATCCTCACTGGCTGCCATAGACTTGTGGCCTTGAGCGAAACCAAACTAAGCTTGTTAAATAACAACCGATTGTCTTTTATAATGCTATTGTACACCAAATAAACAGCTCAAGGGAAATGGAAAGAGAAAGTATGGTAGGTCGTTGAAACAGTTTAAAGTCTGCACGAAGGACAACATCACCCACGCTAGTCTTCAGGCAAGTTGAAGAGTAGGCACGGGGGTTGAATTGGATGGCGTGCCCTGATGCGTGGAACAACAGAAACAAATGAGATAAACCGACGTTGAGAGCATCAGTGGGGTCCCGTGCAAAAAAAGGAAGGCTATAGAAGAAGCACCAAACCTCCAGGCTAGTTTCCTTGATCCCGTTGCGGACGTTTTTTCCCCGTTTTTGCCGTTCCCGCATTGGCCTCTACAGTCACATTTGAGCTCATCCCTGCACATGAATGTTATTGCCGAAACCGACAGACCTAAACAATAAACTGCTACATAGCCGATGAAGTTTACTGAATTAATTTACTGTAAGGACATAAAAGCAGAAAGTAAAAAGTGTAGGTTATGAAGATATATAAGATAGATAACGGTTGATCCTACACTTGAAGAGATATAGATCGAAGCGATCAGGGAAGCATCCTCACGGGAGTCTGACTTTCAATGTGTTCATGTAAAACTATATTTTTGAGTTGCTAATTTTCATGAGTCTGTTTCACAAAGTAATAGTTCTTTCAGGGAAGACGCTGTCTGAGTGTAACTTCCTCCTTGGAGATGAGTTGATGTTGCGTCGGTCACATGTCGGGTCCTGAAGGCGAACATCTAGAGTAGTGGTTCTAAAGGAATGTAAGTATTTATCCACACGCCCACGTCGTTACAGAATGTGATACACGATCGAGGTTTAATATAGGAAGTCGTTCAAAAATTGCTCAGGGAACCTGCGGCATTAATTTTTTTAAGGACGCCTCAGGTGATGGGCAATAACGTCAGCCCTCTCATAAAGCAGAGGTACTTCCCTGGCGGGGTCGCCGGCCAATATTAATTTCAAACTTCCCCTTCTAGTGCCATCCGTCTGAACATCTACCAGTTTCTCTTCAGTACGCAGGCGATCATGGCTCTCCACAACTTCCTGTCTTTTGTAGCTCTTAATAAATGTTGTCATTTTGTTATTTCTCCTAAATCCTGTTCCGCCATCTTTTTACTCAAGCTCACTAAGTCTATGATGCGTTTCTTTCCTCTGCCCCTTTTATCCTCAATCTGTCCTGTGAGTATCAGATTTTCGTTAAAAGATGCTGTTATGGGTCCACCCCTTTTTCATTCAAGTGGACTCGACCAGTGTGTATTTGGACTGCTGCCAGTGAATACCCGAGAGGTAGAGTTATAGAGAGAGTAAGAGTGTGAGGTAACCGCTTTGTAGGAGTCACAGTAGACTCAGGAGGAAGTCCTACTTAGATACTGAATTTCCCAGACTGTATATATATTATTATTGCTATTAACCGCATTTCTGGATCTACTAACCAATTGTATTATTACGTCAGTACATTTATTTGCTATATTTCATTCCTGCGTTTGTCATTCATTTGAGACGGGATTTCATCTCGAAATCCACAATAGATGCTAAAAAAGCACAAAAATATCAATCCATTTCTAAATGATTGAGTTTATACTGATCACCAGTGCGACCCTCACTGGATGCTACAGACTTGTGGTCTTGAGCGAAACCAAACTAAGCTTGTTAAATAACAACCGGTGATTTAGTGGTCGAGCTTAAACTGATCAACAGTGCCGATGATAAACACAATTATGCCAACTAAGATGCCGACACCGGTAGGAGTAATGTTTAATCATCTATCTTGTTGATTATTAAATGTGAGCAGTAAGTTCGACCCTTCCTCCTTGCTCATATGTTCGGTCCATGGTATTCTCAGCATCCTTCTGTTGCTTCCCGCCTCTTCTTCTTCTGTGATGAGATATATGTTCAACATTTACTGCTATATAGGAGGACTGATATTACGTAACAGCTCAGCATTCTTTTCTTTATGCTAACAAACCTTTTTCTGTTTTTAATAATTTACCCACCATAAACATTACAAATTGAGGATACCAAAATCAAACTACAATTTTTTTTTTAAATATCTGGGAAGTGTTTTAACAGAAGTCAGAGAGTGCGACATTGAAATCCGAAGGCTCACTGGAATAGCAAAAGATGCTTAAGAAAAGCTAAGCAAGGGTATTAAGAAACAGGAAAAAAATTCGTTAGGTACAAAGAAAAGAATACTAAGCTGTTACGTAATATTAGTCCTCTTATATGGAAGCGAATACTGGACAATCTAGTCATAAATGAAGAAGAAACTTGAAACAGCAGAAATGTGGTTCTACAGGAGGATGCTGGGAATACCAACGAAACCGAACACGTGGGCAACGGCGGCGTTTTAGAGAAAATAGAAAGAAAAATGGACGTATATATTTATCATGAAAAAGAGGGAACATAATGAGGAAAGACAGTTTGGAGAATTCGATACTCAGTTTACTGAAGTCAACAGGGACAGAGGAAAATAATGCATAACCTATCTAGCGAACTTGTGTAAATGGATGCCAGGGCAGGGTTTAGGAGAGATACGTAAAAGACAGAATTTATTAAGAGCTACAGGAAATTGTGGAGAGCCATGAAGGGAGACGGCACACAGAAGAAGAAGAAGAGAGCAATGGAAAGTGGGATGTGCTACACTGAGAGTTTTCTTCATTGTAATCCTCTTAAACTAATTTACACGTCCATTTATTTCGTTTGCAATGACCATTAAGATTACACAGAGCGTTATACCAATAAAAGATTTCGAATTTTTCACTAGGAGCCGTGAAATTGAGAGCTGCCTTCGCAACTCCGGCCGGACCCATTCATCGCTCTGGCGATATGCAACGCTCGACGCCGCCTGTCACTTATATTCCACGGGGCAATTAAAGTATTCATGGCATCGGTGCCACGTTGTCTCGATGCGGCGTGATCTTGAACGAGAATAAGCGAGGGTAGCAATCGAAGTCCTGACGGACCAATAGATTCTCAAGGACTACGAGCTGGCTGAAACACTCTTGGCAGCTTCGTCAGGGACATTCAAGAAGGCAGAGAGAGAAAAAAAAAATTGGCAGCCATTTTTGAGAGGGGTAGACGATGGTATATTCACGAATGGATCTGTAGATGGCTGAAAAATGAGATGCGAATGGTTTAGTAGTTGGGTGGGTGGTAATTGAAGATTGTGGTTAAAAAGAAAAAAAAAACGCGGGCCGGGTATGTGGCTAGAGGCAGCTGCTAGATTTGCTATTGGCTTATAATGAAGTGGAAGGCTTACTTGAGAGATCCTAGGCTAGCATTTGATTTCAAGACTTTTTCCTATCCGATGAAAGTGCGGAGAAAGAAAAGGAGGAAGTTATAAAGATAGAAAATATAGGGAAAAAAAAGAAAAGACTGAATGGAAAAATGGAGAGACAAACATGAGAAACGAAAAGAAAAAAAAGAAGGAAAATAAAGAAAGACGGAAAAAGGAAAAGAAAGAAGTAAAGAGAATCATTTAAAGAAAAGAATTGTCGATCAGTAAAAAAAAAGAGAAAACAAAAAGTTTTCGTCTGTGTGTGGCGGGTGTGTGTGTGAGGGAGAGAGAGAGAAAGGGATGGAGAGAGAAGTTTTGTGAATGATGGAAACAAAAATAAAGGAGAAACAAATGTGTATATCAAGAAAAGAAGAATAAAGCAGCGAAGAAGAGTAAGAAAGATGAGTGTAGGTTTAGAGAATACGCTTAAGAAAGAAAGAAAGAAAGAAAAAGAAAGAAAGAAAGAAAGAAAAAGAAAGAAAGAAAGAAAAAAAAGAAAAAGAAAGAAAGAAAAAGAAAGAAAGAAAGAAAGAAAAAAGAAAGAAAGAAAAAAGAAAAAGAAAGAAAGAAAGAAAAAGAAAGAAAGAAAGAAAAAAGAAAGAAAGAAAAAAGAAAAAGAAAGAAAGAAAGAAAGAAAAAAGAAAGAGGCTGAGTAAAATAAATAAATAAGTAAGCAGAGTAAAAGAAAGAAAGTGAAAAGGATGTTGAGTAAAATAAATACATATGTGAGCAGAGTAAAAGAAAGAAAGATAGAATGAATGAAAGAAAGAAAGAAACAAAGAAAGAAAGAAAAGGACGGAGTGAAATAAACAAAGACGTGGACAGAGTGAAAGAAAGAAAAGAAAAGAAAGAAAATGAAGAAATATATATAAAAGATAAAAAGCTAAAAATATTTAAAAAAAAAACAAGAAGAAAAAAGAGAAAAGAGGAGAGAGGGACAAAATTACGAAAGAAAGACAAAAAGAAAAATTAATAGTAATAAGAAATTAAAAATTTTAAAATGACAAGAAAGAAGACGTGAAAAAGTAGCTATTTCTAAGCTTTGTTTATTTTGGCGTAAGAAAATAAGGTATTTACAGCACTTGCTGTTCTAAACCGATCACCCACCCAAACACGAATTATATTCGATGTTGCTTAACTTTTCAAAGTATTTCAAATTTTTCAAAGTATTTTCCAGGTTTTCCCTTTAGCTCCCCCCCGCCCAAAACCGGCTAGACGCACCGACTTACACACAACCCTACACAAACGTTCTTTAACGTCTGTTCGAAAGAATTTGGAATATAACTCTTCTGACCAGACGGCACAGCACCAGTCTTTCCACGCTCCAGTGTTCTCATGTCCAGGTGCCGTGGTGCCAATGATGATACTTTTTGGTCGACAATAAAATACTGTATACAGTACGCTGACTGGTGGGTGGAGCGACACCAACATTGAATTGAGATGAGATTTGATGCAATGTACACGTTTGTTAGATAGGTTTCGTGTTTTTTTTTTAATCGAATTCACCCCAAGTAAGATAGTAAAGCCACTAAGACACAAGGAGTTACTGGGTGTGAAAAAATAAGAAGAAAAGAAACATGATGAAGGAGCGAGAACAATAGAAGAGTAATCGGGAAGACAGGAGATAGCGATTGACATTGAATTAAAATTTTTGAAGGTCAAAGTTGGCCGAAAAGCAGGGAATCGGGAGAGATTTCCACAAGCGAGAAGTGTGAGGGAAGAAACTGTTAGCATAGAACTTACGGTTATATCTAGTCAATTCAAATGTGAATTGATGAGATCTCGTTGTCAGTTTAGTACTACGCTTAAATTCATAAAGTCTTGGTACCATAGTGAAGAGCGATATTTATTCTGTTATGTACAGAAATGTGGCACAAGGCCACCTGGGGAATGGGTTAAAGGACGGTCTTCTGTGTTAACTTTAAACTTAGCTAGCCACAAACACTGACCCAAACATACAAACAATATTCCTATCAACAAAACAATGCATTCTTACCTACCTTTCTTACTACATCCACCATAATACCTCATTGTCTCTATGAAAATCCTAACCATTCCCCATATGTACAATTCATTGTCTGTGGGGGGTGGGGATAAAACAACCATAGTTAAGCGCTCATCCGAACAACTATCATGAAAGTATTTAGAGAAAAGGCACAGGGAAGCAACTTTACGGCGGCGGGAAAAAGACTGAAACCGAGATGCCAGATCAGGACCAATAATATTGCTGATTCTTCTTAATTATGGAATTGAATTAATATTATTTGTCAGAGTGGCGAAAGCGGGTAATGGTCAAATTAACGCATAAAAGGAACTGATTATTTCTGAAATGCCATTCTGAAACGCCAGGTCAGGACCAATAATATTGCTGATTCCCTCTTTGGATTGTATCAAGACTCCCTAAATAAATAGTGCTATTACTGGTGTCTATGTGGCAGCAACATTATAAGCACGGGCGAATTATAGTTATGTAGGTTAGACACTGGAGAGAAAAAATGTCTAGTACAAAACCAACTTTCTTAGCAGCTGACTTAGCAATGGATTGAATACAGTCTTTCCACTTCATGCCAGCCGAGAATGTGAGCCTAAGAAGGCTTAATGAGTCACCTTCCTGGAGGTTAGCATCATGGAAGGCAGAAAAGAGTCTCTCAGATGGCTAATAGAGAGCAGTTTTATTTTAAAATTAACAGGCCATTCATTACCGCAGTTAACAACAGACGTCGTTTTTTTTAGATCAACCACCAATTTGACCTTATCGAACTAATCAGATTTAGTATCGAGAAAAAGAACAAATGCTTGTGTCATCAGCATAAATACCAATTTAAGAGCTGACGTCATCAGAAAAGTCGTATATAAAAATTAAAACCAATGTGGAACGAAGGATAGATCCCTAGAGGACACCTGTATTAATATATTTCCATTCTTGTCAATGTACTGCTGATTTATGTCTGGAATCAATATCTTGGTATTTTATTTTATTTTTTTTTTTTGCTTTTGTCTAGAGCAATTATCACCCCCGAAAATGCATCTTCTTCCTTGGTCTAACAATTATTCCACAGTCAAACGATGTTAAATCCTATCTTCGTACAGATAGTCGATACAGTTATATCGTCAACTAGGTACCTCCACTTTTTCGTTGAAGAAACAGTATACTATGATGAAAAAAGAAAAAAAACTTAATAAAAACGAAGTTTTATCGTTAAAATGTTTATGTCATTATTAAGAAGAAAAACCGAAGTATTTTTTTATTATTTTATTAATTCTTAAATCCTTTCAAGCACGTTCGAAATTAATTTTAAACCATAGGTATCGAAGCTGAGGGGATGTACCTGCTGTCAACATTAAACTAACTATTTAGCTACTACATCACACATACACTATGTAATTCTACCAGTGAAGAAGGGCGAAACCATCTAGTTTGCTGCTGTTTATTTTTAGTACTTTAGTTGGTATACATGCTTCATCAAGGGAAAAGTGAATCAAGTACTGCCATTGGATAAGAAAGAAGTGTCTTTTGATTGCGCCATCGTTAAATTCTTTGGTCAAATCACGTTAAATCTGAGTGGCTATTCCTAAAATCGTGTCATATTATTGAATATATGAGACCGTCCTTTGATCACGTCATCCATAACTGCCACTTTCCTAAATGACGTGTGGACAGTATAAAGATTCTCTAATTTTGTTAAATTCCTTTATTGAGATCCAAGAGTTATTTCAACTATTGAACCCATTCTCCGTGTAACAAAGAATAAACTCAGTAGTCCGGACAATGTTAATAACTCTTCTGAAAATTACACATGGTAATTTATTCAGATATTAAACTTTGAGATTTAAATCTATTAATACATGGATGCCGTAAATTGTTATCATTGCTGATGCTACTTACAAGGATCGATGTATTAATGCCCCAAACTGAGTGGCTCAAAAACGTTTGGAAATTAATGGTTTTACTCTTCTAAAATCAAATCTTATCCAAAGTCAAGTGTCACGTTAATCTATCTGTTTATCTTGCTTTGTCTGCCTTTTGTCTCTTTTAGTTCATATCATTGGATGCATCTCACTTCAAATATATCTTGCAAACAATATCTGTTCATTTTGATAGATCTGTTCATATATATATATATATATATATATATATATATATATATATATATATATATATATATATATATAATATTTTACTTTCTATATAAAATATACTTAAAAAAATACACATTACAATCGAAAACATTTGCGGTTTCTCTCTTCTTTTTAAATATACACTTTTCTCTCGTTGGAATCTCTTCCCTATATATATATATATATATATATATATTTTATATATATGTATATAGTATATTTTTAATGAAATGTGCATGAAAGAAGGATTGCTGCCTAAATACACACACACACACACACACACACATATATATATATATATATATATATATATATATATATATATATATATATATATATATATATATATATAATATATATAATTTTGACATTTTTTTTCATATCTATCTATCTATCTATCCATCTCATTGGTTTCATATCTATCTATCTATCTATCTATCTTAATCTATTCATATATATCTCAGTCTGCTCATATCTATCTATCTATCTATCTATCTATCTATCTATCTATCTACACATCTGAATAGCTGGATATTTTTACAGACAGTGTGGTCGTTGTTCTAATTCCTATAAAAAACATGAATTTCAAATGCTGATTGACATGAACATGATCTTGCCTGAAATAGTAGAAAAATACATTTATAGCAAAGAATTTGTTCAGCCCTATATTTGTACATTTTAGCCATTGCGTTTACTTATAAAATCTACAAAAACATGTGTTTCCTATCTATCTATCTATCTATCTATCTATCTATCTACATATATATATGTATGTATGTGTATATATATATATATATATATATATATATATATATATATATATATATATATATATACAGAAATCCGCACTCACTCACGCACACACACACACACAATATTTGTTCACATTCCTCATGAACTCTTCCAAGACAGTGTTTCGGGCGACTACTTGCGTAAGTAGGCGTGAAACGACATTAACACAAAGGAAGCGAAATAAAGAAGAAATTGTGTCACATACTTTGTCATGATCTTGAAGCAGATCGGGAGACAGTCGCTATAACATCAGGAGGATAAACAGAGGAGAAAGAAAAATGAAAAGTCAAAGAAAGAGGAAACCAGCCCCCGAACCGACTGCTGTAATGCACTCCTTCTGTCTACTGTTCGTCACCCCATCGCAGTAGCAACCTCATTTTTCGCCTCGCCTCGCAGCACATTTGACGGACTTCACAGGTTAAACCTTTCTAAACAAGAAACATGCACGTGCCTCGAAGGAGTCATTTTCTTAAAAAAAAAAAAAAAATGATTAAAAAAAAAAATTGCCTTTCGTGCTGTCTGTAATGGCATTCTCAGTGGTTATAGCAGTAGCACCAATTATAAATTCCTTTTTTTTTTTTTAAGTGCCGTGTCCCGTCAGGACGTGGGCATTCATGTCTCTCCTCATCTTCCTATCTTTTGCTACTGTAAGGAAATGTTCACTCTTTATTATCATTGCCCTCCATTCACACCAATTCGTTTAGTGGGTTTTCTTCGGATCTTCTATGGTACGTAGACCTTAGGAATCTAAGCGCAGTACTAGACTGGTTTTATCGTTTTATAATTAAAAGGCTAGCTATAACCGTAAGTTCTATGTTAACAGTTTCTTCTATCGCGCTTCTCTCTTGTGGAACTCTCTTCCGGCTTCTGGCTTCCCCATCAAGTTTGGTCTTCAAGAATTTAAATGCAATGCCAATCTTTATCTTCTGTCTTCTTAAATCGTGTTCTTTAATTGTTCTCTCTCCCTAATGCTGTTTATTTACTTCATATCTTCTGACAGTCATTAAACCCCCTTTTAGTAGTTTTATTGCCTTGCTTTGGGTGTAATGATTAAGAAAAAAAAAGGTTACTCTCTGTTTCTCTCTGCTTCTTTTGCCTTCAATTTGTCTTGTGAGTGTTAGATTCTCCGTACCCTCTTTCCTTATTATGTATCCGGGAAATATCAGCTGTTTCTTTCTGATTGCGTGTACCAGTTTCCTTGTACTTCTTATTTTCATTAAAACTTCCTCGTTGTTCATATGTTCTGTCCATGGTAATCTTATCTTTCGTTGGCCGAACTATGACGGGCCTTGTTTGATTCCTGTTTTTTGGTTAGTAAAATATACATATATACATCATAACAAGAAAGTGAGCCATATATATATATATATATATATATATATATATATATATATATATATATATATTTGGAGAGAGAGAGAGAGAGAGAGAGAGAGAGAGGGGATTTATTATGTGAAGGGTTTGGTTGTACTAGTTCGGTAGATATATCAAAGTTCTTTATTATGGTTGTTAAATGTTTTTGTTTTGTGTTTGACTTGGTGAAAAAATATATGATTTACAAGTCTATCATTAAAAGGTAATGTTGAACATGAGAAAGTGATATTTGTATAAGACTTATTTCAGGTCTTCATTCCAGGAGCCTCTCAAATCCACGTGTTCTTTCGGTGACAAATCGCTGAAAAGGGATGACTTCAATTTCCCCATCAGTAGGACGGTTTCCTTTTTCCTATGGAATCATGGGAAATGAGTTGTTTTTTTTTATTTCTCGTGATCGCGAGATAACTACACCTTTATTCCTTAGTCTCCTCTTCATCTGTTAGGATATTGCCCATCATTCGTTACCATATTAATTGGAAGCCGATGATGCTTGTGCTATACCGAAATCGATGTGATCAAGAGTTCCATCATACTGGCCTTCATCAAGATGCTGATCAGGCCAAGTTAGGAGCTCCCTCCCAGCAACTGTATGTAAGGTTAGCATATTTGCCGTAGAAACTGAGTGTTGAAAAAAAAACGAAAATGTGTCTTATAAAATTACTAGTTATTACATAGTATTTTAGTACTTATTTCCTTGCTTGTAACAATTGTTTTTTCTATTACTTAATGCGTGTTCGTATTTCTGGGACACAGTTTTCCAGGTACCTTACTAAATTATCCAGACTTTGGGTCCTGTCACTGGATCTAACCAACGCCTTTATCCACTGTGCCATGTGTCCTTGAGGACATCTGGGTACGAATTTCTGGGTATTATAAACCTAATGTCTTCACCAACTATTTTTACCAGTGCTCATATTGCAATTTTGCTGTTATCATTGCATGTTTTTACCAGAGCTCATATTGCAACTTTTGTTGTTATCATTGCTTTTCTCTGGTACTCCTTATTACTGGTTCCCATATTGTATTGATTTCTATGCTTGGTCGGCTCAGGAGATTTTTGTGGCCTAGCATATGTGCTGATTCCTTAAATTTACGAATTTTCCAATGGTGTTCCTTGTCTATGATCTCAACATCTCAAGGACACATGGCACAGTGGATAAAGGCGTTGGTTAGATCCAGTGACAGGACCCAAAGAGTGTGAGTTCAATACCCGGTTAAGGCAGTGGAGAACTTTCAGAGGGAAAATTAGCAGGAGATAACTGATAACTGACATCCATCAAACATGGCACGTGAAACTAGAACAGTCTACCCCAGTGAGCGAAATAAAGGGTTCAGTTCGAAATTCCAACCACCTGAAGAAGGCTGGAGCATACAACGGCCGAAACGTAGTGATAAATATGGCGACAAAGATGAGGAAAATAGTCCGAATAATGTAAATAATGTACATAGTACCTCATCTCAGAAATATAGACAGACTCTAAATTATCCAGATAATTAAATTACTCCATCTGCATCTGCTTGATTTTTGACCTCTCCAAAAACTCAGTTCACATCTTGGGCTATCTCTTTCGCAGAAAACCATTATTCCCGCTTTACAGATTAATAGGGAATCACTTCTTCTTGCGTTCATTTGCCCCCTTATGCAAGAGACTTCCTTCTGAGTCTGCAATCAACACATTTTCAACAATGTATCTTATATTGTTAACATGTCGATAACAAGTGAATAATGATTTACTCCTTTCCAAGCACATCCGTCTGCTTGGGTGACTAGTTTTTTTTTTGTTTTATTCATTCATTTTTTACGGATTATCAACCTTTTTAATGTTATTTAAAGCCGAAACATATTTTAGGATTAAACGAATTTTTTGGAGCTGATAATGATTTCCTGATAAAAATTTTACTATTTAACCCATAGCTGGGAGAAGAAGAAATGGATTCATACCTTTTCCAATGATATTTGCACCAAAGTGAATGTAACGACGCCTGCTCAGACACATTTGCATTTTTTCAACACTCAGAGAAACCACCTGTGTTTTCTACTGCACATAGCCTAACCTGACAGTTGCTGGGAGGGATCTCATAATTTGGCGTGATCAGCAGCTTGAACAAGGCCAGTATGCTGAAACCCTCCGTTACATTGATTTCGGGATAGCACAATCATGGCTTCCAAAGAGTTCCTTCTTCCCAATTTAACCTACAAGGTTTGGATCATTCCTTGACATATTTTCAGGTACTTTTTAACAATGTCGCCTGCTGGGATCATTTTTTCCAAGCTTATAACATCAAGTCGCCTACCTGAAAAATCGTCCATGATAAGATTCGAAGACGGGTTTTATGGCATGAAAACGAATGTTCTAAGCACTCGGCTACATGCCGTTAATGAATGAAAAGGGATCTTATACCCGCGTTAGTCACCTCTGATTTCCGAAAATTGATTGTCCGTTTGGACTATAATACAAAAATGCTTATAATATATATATTACAATTATATAAAATATTGTATTGCTGACAAAAATAACATAACAGGCAATCTCTGTTACAATATACATTAAATCAAAACTTGAACTGAAAATATAATTATTCATTAAAAATTATAATAAATTTGTTGTATAAACGTATGTTGTAAACTGTAGCGGAAACACACAAGTACAATAAGAGAGAAAAGTATTATTCATTAAAAATAGACACAGAAAAATATTATATTAGTATATATTAGTATATATTAATAAATATACATATTATCCTTCACTGTTAGCAGGACTTTCATGCACGACGCAATCTTCAGTAGGCTTGGCCAAAAATTCCCCGTAGATCCGTATAAAACGGGGTCGGTTACAACGACCGAAATGTTGTAATATATATGGTGACAAAAATGAGGACAATAGTCCAAATAATGTAAATAGTGAGCTTTAGCAGTGTCCGAAATTGTCAAGTGACATATACAGCAGAAAATATCCCAAGAATATTTGGGAAAAGCTTTGAATTTATTTCTACTCACAGAACTACTGGTAGTTCCTTAAAGAAAAAAAATTAAGTTTAATCCTGAAAAATGTCAGAAATTTTGTCTGCAAAAGTTTTTATTTTTTATTTTTTAGATTTGCACAACATTTGACAAACAAAATCGAACATGCGCTCTTATCTTTAAGCAATTTAGTTCTTTTGCTTGATATAGGGGGAATTTAGATTATCAAACCTAAATTGCGATGTCATATCTAATCAATTCCGTATCAGTGACTCCTGGACGAGTTCCATACAGATGAAGAAGAGACTCGAAACTACATTTAAAACTTTTGTTATCCTCTACCTTTACAAGAGCCAAATCCGAACGAAAATGGAATGCTGTTAACATATATTGTCAAGAGGTGTACAGTCTTCAATTTCGAGTCTCCATGGAGTACAAAAACGTCTCTGAGGACTTATTATTTATTAATTATTTTTCACCTTACATCCTCTTTCCCAGAGACAAAACGTTGCAAGCAACTTGCTACTTTATCTTTATTTCCATGGAAAAAGTTCTGTTGAGCTACATTGCTTAGTTCCACTAGTTAAGACCTTCACATCTCGCTGTTACACGCACATTGTAGTGAACTATTCACATTCCCTTCGTATTCCATTGGCGAAATGTAAGTTCCACTCGAGCAGCTTCCTCTCAAGAATTACTGCCTTTTGGAACCGGCTCCCAAGATTATGCTTCCCCGATCACTACAATCGCTTTCATTGCTTGCCTTGATAAAAAGAAATCGGCAAGAACTAAGATTTTTTTTCCAATTGGCATTTTTAAACCAATTTGTCTTATTTTCAGAATTATTAAGGGAAATTTAAGTAGATAGATAGATAGATAGATAGATAGATATGAACAGACTGAGATAGATAGATATGAACAGACTTTTTCAACTCGATTTATATCAGATATCTCTATTTTTTTATTTATCTGTAATATTAGATAGCTAGCTAGCTAGCTAGATAGATAGATATATAAGAAGCGAGAGAATATAAGAAAGAAAGAATATAGAGAGAGAGACAGAGAGAGAGATGATAAAGAGAGAAAGAGAAAGAAAGAATAGGATAGATAGCTAGAAAGATAGGAAGAGAAAATATCTATGTATATATATAAATATAGATAGATAAATAGATAGATAGAAAGAATACAGATAGATAGATAGATAGATAGATAGATAGATAGATAGATAGATAGATAGATAAGAGACTGGGATAGATAGATAGATAGATAGATAGATAGATAGATAGATAGATAGATAGATAGATAGATAGATAGATAGATAGATAGATAGATAGATAGATATGAACAGACTGAGATAGATAGCTAGTTAGATAGAAAGATAGATAGATATAGGATTGAGATAGATAGATAGATAGATAGATAGATAGATAGATAGATAGATATGAACAGACTGAGATAGATAGTTAGATAGAAAGATAGATAGATATAGGATTGAGATAGATAGATATGAACAGACTGAGATAGATAGATAGATAGATAGATAGATAGATAGATAGATAGATAGATAGATAGATAGATAGATAGAAATTAATTTCAGAACAAAGTCAAATCGGACCAAAAACGGAGTATTTCATTAACAGATTTGGGCTGCAGCTGCCAAATCCCCCCTTTCTAGTCTTGACTGAGTTCAAAAGCCTATATGCAGCGTTGGAAGCGATGAATTTTTATTCCCATCCTGCAGCCCCTTCTGACAGATGCAACGTCTCAAGCCTCTCGGTACTTCATCGCTATTTCTATGGAAAATGTTCTGACAAGCTTCATTCCATATTTCAACCAGACCGTTAGAGTTAAGACACGCCATGTACCATACCCGGGCAAACCATTCTCATTCCCTTCATATCCCGTTGATGCGCAAAAAGCTCAATTCAGTCAGCTTAAATTCGGCTTCAGTGTTCACTGGAGATAAGATTATTTTTTCTCTTAATAGTCGCTACTTTATGGAACAGACTTCCAAGAAGGAAGCTTCCTCGAACATTACAATCTTAACCTTTTCAAGTCTAGGGCCAACCGTTACCTATTGTGCCTACCCTCATAATCTGCACTTTTTTTCCCCTTTTACTTCCTATCACCATACAAAAGCCTCATTTAGCAACGCTCTACCTTGAGTGGCTGTTGGGCCTTTATTTGGTGAACATTTAATAAAAAGATAACTCACTAAAAATTGCTTGGCTAATATCATATTCTTTGGTGACCTCTGGTCATCTCGAATAATCTCCGGGATCAAACTCATAAATTAGGTCACAAATGATGTCTTGTGAGTCTACATGCAACAAGTTAGGCCAATGGCCTTGTCGTTTGAGTATGATCGTAGCATGGACAGATCAACATACATGCAAGTAGTTTCCAATATTAGTATAAATTATAATTGTTATTTCATCGTATAAGTTCAGCTAGTTGAACAATCTAGTTTCACAGACGAGTAATGTTGTTTGATCTTCAGACAGTGCCCCAAACTTTTCGTTCTTTGATTGATTTATTTTTAAGGCTTATCAACCTTTCTGAGGTTATTTAAAGCCGAAACATATTTTGGGATTGTAAGAGATTTTTGGAGATAGTAATGATTTTATGATCCAAGTCTTACTATTTAACCTATAGCTGGAAGGAGAGGAAATGGTTTGGTTTGATTTGGTTTACAGCAAGTCAACCACAATAGGTCATTTAATGCCGACAATTTTTACTTATGGTAATATTTTTTCTCCTTCAAAATTTGGTTTTTATTTGGTTTGTTTTACGGCATATCAACCTCAATGGGTTATTTAATGCCGACAAAATTTTTATTGCTGATAATGTTTTTCTTCAAAAATCTATTTCTGGGAATATTTTTCCTTGAAGAAATCTATACTTGGTAATATTTTTTTTCAAAGAATGTATAGCTGTTTGTATTGCTGGTACCTTTTTTTTTTTTAAGTATTGCTGATAATAATTTTTCATTCAAAAATTATTGCTGGTAATGTTTTTTTTATTACAAAGTATTTCTGGTATTAAAACCTATTTTTACACAAATATGGGTGTCAACTATTTTCCCATAGCTGGGACCTTAACAGGTGCGACCACCCCAGGTCAGGGTGGACCTGGGAACACCAGCAATTAAGAGGTGGTTCCACGTTCCTCAAAACCTCCTGATCACAGGCCTTGCTGTTGGACGTAGTTTATCATCTTACCCAGGATGCAGATGTAGTTTATCGTCATACCCAGGAAGGTTTTCCTTCAAATATCTTTCTGGTAATATTTTTTCTTCATAATGTATCGCTGGTAATATTTTTTTCAAATAATATATAGCTGGTAATATATTTTCTTCAATAATTTATTGCTGGTAATGATTTTTTTTTATAAAGTATTTCTTGTATTAAAACCTATTTTTACACTTTCATAGTGTTTTGACCCCAGTTTGGAGGTCAACTATTTGCCCATAGCTAGGACCCTAACAGGTGCTACCATTCCAGGTCATGGTGGGCTTGGGAACACCAGCAATTAAGAGGTGATTCCACGCTCCACAAAACCTGAGGCCTTACTGTTGGATGTAGTTTATCGTCTTACCCAGGACAGAAGAAATGGATTAAAATCCTTTGCGCGTAAGTGAATATAACGAACTAGACTGGAATTCAAACACGGATTTCCGATTTCTCATTCCGAGCCGTTATCCGTTGCACCACTCGCACATCCAAGCTTACAGCACCTGGTATTCTTCAGCGGTCATCCATCTAGTTACTGACCAGTTTCAACCTTGCGCAAATCCTGTGGTCGTAAAAGGACCGGTGTTTCAACGTGATATGGCCGTAAGCCCGAAAACATTTAGCCTTGTGCCAGATTAGTCTTAACTTATCTTTAAAAGCTTTTTTTTTTTTTTTTTTTAATAAAAAAAAATGTTTTAATCAGGTGTATATTGCAAGTAATAAGATCAGTTGAAACTTGAATCAGAGTTTTCACTTTTACGGTGGTTCGGTTCTGCTATTTGTTTTTTTTAATCATATACGGCGTAATTCCGATGGATTCAAATTTACATTTCTTTCTCTCGTCCACACTGTCTGCTTGATGGTGGTACACAGTTCCTGTACTGGCTTTATCCTCTTGGATACTAGAAATCACAGAAATCGAACTCACAGCTCCAGAGAACGAGAGGAACTTTAAAGCAGTAACATGCGTCTTTATTCACTAAACCTATAAAGATATGCCTATATATCAGCGAAGAATAAGTAGTGTTTAATGGCGACTCGAAAAAAAACAGAATAAACGAAGAGTCATCAAAATATCAAGCGAGGCCATTGAAAATAGGGATAACTTAACAAATATTCTCTTTTCGTTATCATTGTCTTTTTAGATGAGATGCATATACGGTTAAAACTTTTGGTCGGCTCGTTAGAACGTTTTAGCCAAAAGATACGGTTCGACTCAAACCATGATTGATTTTGCAATGAGTCGCTTTTTATGGCATCGACCCGCGGATACAACCCCAGCATCGTTTGAAAATGCTTGAAAACGATACTGTGGGTTGATACAATTTTTGTTAGTGAAGGTAGGTAGCTGAAACTGTTGAGCAAGCAGGAAGTCACAAGTCATCGTAACCGAGGGTTTGCGTGCACTCGACTTTTTCAAACTTGTGATCACGTCAGATTATGCGCTTTCTAGCAGAAACTGGAACAAAGCCAGTTTGTCTTTGTCGGTGTTGATACGCAAATACGCATCAGCGGTTATCTGCAACAGATATTAACTAACCACGCTAACAGACTGGTGTACTTGAATAACGTGTTGACAGCCATTATTAGTATATCTATCTATCTATCTATCTATCTATCTATCTATCTATCTATCTATCTATCTGCATATATATACACAAAGAGATAGAGATAGGTATAGAGAGAAAAGCACAGAGACGTGATTGTGTACTGAATGCTCGACCTGATCAAAAAATTAATACACGCAAAAATGCATATTTTTTTTTTGTGTGTGGGTAGAAGATGATGCTCCAAAAAATTTGCGCAGTATGACTTTATTGAGTATAACTTCTTGATAGGTACTAAAATTGGTAGGTAACTAATTGAAGTTGTTGTAAAGGCATACCAGGAAGCGCAATAACTAATAAGCCTAAATAGAATACGTCAACGGGAAATCTTTTTGTAGTCTATTACTTACCCAATAAAAGGTCCAAGAGCCTCTCAAGGTAGCGGTTTGGTTTCTACGGCTAATCTACTATTTACTGGTTATTTAAGGTCAGGTACTCAGATTCAATGGATAGCGACTCGGATTAAGGAATCGGAGATTCGAATTCAATCCATTGCGTTCATTTACGTGCTAATATACTTAAGAAAGGTATGAATCCGCTTATTCTCCAACCAGCTATGGATAAATAGCAGGACAGACTGGCTTCTATAAGCCTTAGTTGGCAACCGGTCTAGGAGAAAGTAACACTTAATTAAAAACTGTATGTAAGTCTGACGTAGCACATGATGTACAGCTAAAAATTCGGAGTTGGAGCCCTTAAAACAGTTCGTCGAGTTAGAGGACAAAATATTGTTGTTGGGAGGAGACAATGTGGAATAATAGCTAGCGGCTTGTATTGGGGAATCGGAGAGCCGAGTTCGAATTCCAGCCAATTCCATTGCATTCACTTACGTGCTAATACCCTTGGGAAAGGTATGAATCCTCTTCTTTCCCCTCCAGCTATGAGTAAATACCAGGGCAGACTGGGTTTTGTAGCCTTGGATGGCAACTGGTCTAGGAGAAGAACAATTTTGAATTCAAAACCTGCGGAGTGTCGTTTGGTGACCTTGTGGCACGTAGTGCACCAGATCTCTGTATTTTGCCCTTCAAAAAGTATGGATGGTTCTGCACAGAACCTTCATTACTATAGTAAAATCTCATGTGCTGGTGTTGGGCTGTCGGTTCTTGGGAACTGATCTGCTTGACCCTCATATGTCGAATTCGACGGATAGTCGAGTATATATATTAAACCTAAAATATTTGGTTTCTACCTATCAAGTATCTCCAGGTAGTAAAATTGTGTATTCCATCCCAAGATATTCGTATATACGCAATTATGTTGGTCAACATGGCAATATTTGAAAAACCCGAAAGGGGTTACGAAAGGTCTTTATACGAAGAGAGGCATAAAGACAAGCTGGTTTTTAATCCAGTCGTAACACCAGTAATGGTTATCCAGAAAAGAAAAGAAAAAAATTATTTGTTTCAAATCTCTTTTTTAATTTAGAGGTGATGACTAAAATTGGTAAAATCTTCTTACAGTTATTAAGTAAGCATTTCGCTAAAAATGTCTGTGTTACAGAAAGTTTTCAATAAGAACACTATAAGAATCATCTACAATTTTATGAGAAGCATAGAATAAATAAATGGCAGAACAGTAATAAAGAAAATTATAATATAGTAGATCGTCTGCTTTCGCAGTCGAGAAAAAATACAATTGCCATGATACAGCAAATTGTCCGTTAAACGGCAACTGTCTGGTAGAGAGTATTGTTTACAGGGCTACGTTAGCCCTTAAAAGAGGACAGGAAAAGATTATGGTTGATCTGGATGGAATATGTTTTCAAATTGTAAGAATCTTTTTAGATAATAATTATTTAATGATACAAGTCTTATTAATTAAACTATAGCTGGGGGTGGGGAAGAGGTGTATTTATACCTTTCCCAAGGGTACTTGCACGTAAATGAATATAAAAAGCAGGAATTGAAACTCAGCCCTCCCATCAACAATTTCGAGCCATTATCCATTACTCCATCCATAGTCCGCCCACACATCCAAGCTTACAGAACCTGGTATTCAGAAGCTGGTATTCCCAAGGGGTCATCTATCTAAGTACTGACCAGGCTTGCTTAAATTCGTTTGATTGTACGGGAATCAGTGTTTCAAAAGGAGGTAAGATCATCGCTACTGAATAAATTTGTTTTATGGACATAAGAGGAGGTGGTGGTAGGAAGTGCAGAATAGGTAACGTTTGACACACAATCTGAAGAAATTAAGAGTGTATTGATCGGGTTTTTTTTATTGATTTGTGTTTTTTTACAGCTCATCAACCTCTTGAATGTTATTTAAAGCCAGAAAATATTTTAGATTGTAAGACGAGGTAATAACGGTTGACTGTAGAGCTGAAGACGTTAAGATTGTAATGATAGCGGCAGAATCGTTTCGGACATCTAGATAAGAAGCTGTTTGAGTGAAGCTTCTTCCATTCCAATGTAATTTGAAGGGAAGGTGGATAAGTCGACACAAGGTTACAACAATAAAAAGACTAATGAAGATAGGAAGATTGTGTTGCGTCAATTTTACAAATCAGAGAGATCTACGAGCATAGAACAGGTGTATTTTTGAAGATGCCCGGGCTCGAACCTATGCACTGATGGTAGGTACTTAACTTTCTAACCACGCCCCAAACGGATTTTATTTGTTTTGTTAATAAGAAATAATCTTTGTTGTATCTTTTACCATTCTGATTATTACAACCGTGAGCAGCTGATTTTCTTTCTTTCTTTCTTTCTTCTTATCTATCACAACCTTCTATCTATCTATCTATCTATCTATCTATCTATCTATCTATCTATCTATCTATCTATCTATCTATCTATCTATCTATCCCAGTCTCTTATCTATCTATCTATCTATCTATCTATCTATCTATCTATCTATATTTATATATATACATAGATATTTTCTCTTCCTATCTATCTATCTATCTATCTATCTATCTATCTATCTATCTATCCTATTCTTTCTTTCTCTTTATCCTCTCTCTCTGTCTCTCTCTATATATATTCTGTCTTTTTTATATTCTCTCGCTTCTTATCTATCTATCTATCTATCTATCTATCTATCTATCTATCTATCTATCTATCTATCTATCTATCTGTCTGTCTACCTGTCTGTCTGTCTGTCTATCTAGCTATCTAATATTACAGATAAATAAAAAAAATAGAGATATCTGATATAAATCGAGTTGAAAAAAGGAACAGATTGAAAAAATATGAGTAGATGAAAATGAATCTATAGGAATAGACAGAAGGCGTTTCTCGGATGCGGAATTATTAGTTACACTAGAACTATTTTTCACGTCTTCGTTGTTCTTATCAGGAAGTTTCGACTTTGCTCCTGTCAGCCTTCTTCAGGTGTTGGTCGTTTCAGCTGAACTTCAGGACATTTCAAACTGTACGCTATATTTGATCTTGTCCCCCTGCCCACCTAAAAGGGTGGGGGGGGGATCAAGTCACGTTTTTATTTAGTACCTGTTCTATTACTGCTCGTCCTGTTTTTATTCAGTCTAAGTCTGCACTAACCGCTCCAAGGATTGAACTCAAAATTACTACGTCAGCAAATCCATGAACCAAATCCATTCAGAAAAAATAAATAAAAAGATACCCCGAGACGTGAATTTGGGTTGATGGATCTTCTGATGTATTAAAATTTGGTGGGTTATTCAAAGTTGAACTCAAATATTCTTCGTATGTATTTGTGTCTGTTAGCAAATATTGTTCGTTTATATTTGAATCTATAAGCATTTACTTGTTTCAGAAATAGTTCCTTATTGATCATTAAAGTGTGTGTTTATAAACATTTACTTGGTTCGAGAATTGGTAAATATTGTTCGTTTATATTTGAATCTATAACCATTTACTTGGTTGTTGATCGCTCCTTTTCGTCGGGCTGTCAGCATCCTCAAATAAAGCAAATAATATAAATCTGTATTCATTTTTATTTCAAAAGATTCTTTCTGAGTTGATCTCAAGCGAAATAGAAACAGTTATAAACTGTAAGAAATTGTGTGAACGAGTTGGTCAGAAAAGTTTAATGTATTTTAAACCAGCAGGAAAATTATGAAGAAAAACACCAGACACGATAAGGATAGAATGTGAATTTGGAATGGGGTGGCGGATCTTACGATATATTCATCTCTGACTGGTTATTCATTATTGAAATCAATCAATTTTTCTTTATTGTATCTGAGTCAATAAGCATTTACTTAGTTCGTGTATAGATAAATATTGGTCGTTTATATTTGAGTCTATAAACATTTATTGGTCTGGCAGCTGGTAATTACCGTAATTGCTTTTTAGTTGTTGCGGAGTGATTTCACAGTGGAGGCTTGTATTTGTACTAAGTCGGTCCTAAAATAGGTTCGACGTACAAAACGTTAGGAACTTGATATAATAGGTAATGGCGCAGAGAAATCTATTTGTAGTCGCTGATACTTTAGTATCCGACTAACGGTCGTCCGGCATCGACTGACTCACTGACTGACTCGTTACTCTTACTACTCCTACTTATTATAGGTGGGAGAGTCTATTAACTATAGAATAGGTGTGTTTCACTATAACATTAGTGTAAATTACAGGTGATAGTAGGGGTTCGTATTATAAATATAAATATTTTTTATATTGATTATTATTGATTTATAATAGTAAATACGTACTTGTTCAAAAGTAAAAAAAAAAAGATATTATCCCAATTTTTATTTTAAATCCAACAATAATAATTGTAACATTTTTTGTCAATAAATTTATTATTATCAGTAACCGCACTTTTTATTTGGCGAAAAATAAAAAAAACTTCGATAAAAAAGCCAATTTTGAAGAAAAGAGGATATCAAGTTAACAATTTATTGGAATTTTCATTTTCATCATCGTCATCATCCTCATCAGCACCACCACCACTTTCTATTATAGAATCAAAATCTAAATTGTCAATACACAAATTATCGTTCACAATATTATCTTCGTCCTGTTCAAAATTATCTTTGGCCTCTTCGTTCTCTCGGCAAAGGATGTCATCTTCAGTGCCATCCATGGCTATCGTGAGACAATACTTCTTAAAACCTCTCTTCATAACATCCTCATTCACATTTATCGGGAAAACCGCGATGGTGATTTTCAATATTATTTTAGCTGCTTAGTTTTGATTTTATTCTTAATGTCAAGGTCGACAAAATGTAATTTGTAATTTTTTTTTTGTTTTTTGACAAGATTTATAGATGCGTATTATACATAGGGATAGATATATTTCTTAATTTTTCGATCATTTGTTGGGATGCGCATTATTCATGAGTGCGTATTATTTTCGAGAATTTACGGTATTTGTCGTTTATAGTTGACTATATATATATATTTACTTGGTTCGGGGTAGGTAAATACTGTATTGGTCATTTTAAAACTGAGATAGATAGATGGATAGACAGATAAACAGACTGATATCAATGAATAGATTAATTAGATAAAATGCTAGCCAAAGAAGAATTGTTGTCATCTGATCTTCATTGACAGCCCCCCGATAATCATGTGGAAAGTGAAGAAGAAGAAGAAAAAGAAGACGAAGAAATAATAATAATAATAATAATAATTGGACAACAGCATGATTGCTTCTGGCAAGAATATTGAGTAGCTGAGTAGGGTGCTTGCATATTGAGGGGACTTGTTGTCACATGACCCTTAGCGAGATATTCCAGATACGCCTAGTGTTAAAAATTTATAACCTATAATAATGACATGAATTTAAGAATCTACCGACAATGACAAAAGAAAATATTTAAAAAACAAAAAAAATAATGACATCTCCCAAGCTCCAGGTGTCGTGTGTAAATTAATATATATGTGCATTGGTTCTTGTCTGTGTTTCCATATGGGTACAAGATACGGTTGGACTGTTCTTAATAAAGGAATTAGAACCACCCAACCCGGTCGACATGCTGACGGCGCGAAGGATTCTGGCAAAAAGACAGCCGACAGCTGTCATCTGCTATTACCGCCATCAACGGAAGGCATCTCTCCAAAATAAAAAAAAATTGTCTGAAATAGGTACAAAACATATATAAATATATATGTAAATAAGTACAGAATATATATATATATATATATATATATGAAGGGAGAGAGATGTTCAAAGACAAGTGATACCCAGTAGGTAGTTTATTTATTTTTATCATTATTTCTTTTTTTCGTTTGCGTTGTATAAGGGGCGTGAAGTTGTAACATCATTTTTTGAAGTGCGTGCAAATTGCAAAATTACGGGTGTATCTGGTTCGGCGGGTGGTAAATGGTAGTTTTTTTTCCTTTAAAGTTTACAAGATGTTTCAAGAAAATGTCCGATTCACTTGTTGAGTGATTTTCGCAGTTAAAAAAAAAAAAAGTTAAATCGTTTATGAGATACGCACTATCGTACATACTCACATAAAGACTAGTAGACAAAATTGAATACATTACAGTCAGGGAGACAAAACATATATATATAAACATATATATATATCACTTTTGGGCGCCACACACACACACACACTATATATATATATATATATATATATATATATATATATATATATATGCATGTGTGTGTAAATTATTTTCAGATAGAGTGTATCTGTAAAGACAAAATGGTTAAAAAGACAATAGGAAAGAATAGTTTTTCCTCTTTTATTCTTTTATATATATATATATATATATATATATATATATATATATATATATATATATATATATATATATATGGGGTGCAGAAAATGATATATAAATTTTTATATACCAGAACAAGGTTAAGGAAATTATGGACAAATTATCCAAAATCTTTTCGTCGTTTAAGACTACATCGGACTGAAGTGATATTTACGTTGATGTAACTAACTACACATGCGCACGAAATGAGGGACGCTGAAATTTTAAACTTTAAGATTTAATTCTTTTTGTTTTAAAGAATAGGGTTTTAGCGTGTATTTTCTTTAATCTGGACGTTTTCAAAAGATTTCTTCGAAGCAAGCAACATATTTCCTATATATTGATGACACTCTATGAATATTCCGCCGCAAAACTACATTGCCTCACTCTGTAGATAAACCAAAGTCGAACATACAATAGAATCAATTTCACTTACGAAACACAAACAAATAAAACTTTATCATTCGTAGATATTATGTTTCACCGTAACTATCCAACTCAAGTAATACAAATAATCTCATAAATTTCTATTCTCAACACATCTGCAAAATAAAATCCTGAATAATCCTCGGATTTTATTTATGAACATGCAGAATTTGCAGCCCTCAGTAATTTCAAGAAGAGGAGAAATATATTGAAAATACTTTAAAGTTCTGCCAATGTCCAAATTATTTCATTTGAATCGCTGGCTTGTAAAATATTTCAAAATAGAAGAGTGAACCATTCTGATAAACTCAGCGAATCAAAATATATTGTCCTACCCATCAACTCTATCACAACTACAACTAAAAATAATTTATCTAAATTTAACATAAACTATGTTACAATTATTTCTAAAATGATAAAATACTTAATTAATACAAAACAAAATAATACTAAGCTAAAATGTATAATAATTGCCACAAGAAATACAAAGGAGAAAACACGAGAATTTTCTGCTATTGCTACATGTATGATATTCAGAATTGTACCAAAGGGTGAGGAATAAATGTATATTTATTCTAACTATAAATTCTAGCTCCGTTATTTTACATCGTCCACTGTTTTCTTACCATCAGCATTCACTGTGTGCTTATATATATATATATATATATATATATATATATATATATATATATATAATGAAAATGTAGTTTTAATGTATGCTATATTCATAGATTAAAGTGCTCAATATCAGGGATAGAGCGTATGTAAATATAAAAGTGGACATTGACAACACCCAGTGGCGACAATCTGTTTCAAACGGCAATCTTCAGGCCATAACCCAATCCTTAGGCTATCTCATAATCTTCGTGGCCTGAAGATTGAGTTTAAGCATGAAACAGACTGTCAGCGCTGGTTGTTTACTTTAATGTCCACTTTTATATTTATATAGATTCTATTAGCCATTCTTAATGATTAATCGAATAACCGAACTCGCTCGAATATATAGAACATTCGGACAGTTTAAAACACTTATACAAGCACAAGAAAAATTGAATAAAACATTTATAAAATAGGGACTGCTGCCC